TTAAGGAATTACTTTGACAGGAAGAAAAAATGTATTTTTTGTGGGTTTTTAATTTTTTTTTTCCTCACAGTTAACAAAAGATTCGCTGTGTTATCTGTCTGAATCTTAAATGTCAGTACATCAGGCTTTTATTTGTTGTTTTACTTTTGGGTTTGTGCCTCTTGTGTGTACTGTTTTATCTCCAGAAAATACTGACCTCCTAGTGCCATCATCACATATTTTAAACCATCTCAAATAGTAATTAAGGTACTGATTAGGATCATCTGATATTTAAAGTCTTGCAAAATTAATAGATTGCAGTTGAACTTGGAATTATATGTTTAATTTTTTAGTGCAACCAACTATATAACATAAACCTGTGTTGAATATTTTTGACTTGGTTCCTTGGGTCATAGATCTGGAAGAGATGTATTACTATTTGTGTGTTATGTGTGTTCTTAATTTAAACAGCATATTTCATATTGTTTCTCTAAGGAAATAGTAAAATATTATACTGAACATAGAAATACTGAGGACAAATGGAAGAAACCACCACTGCTGGAGAGACTGAAGGTATGGGATAACAAATATTTTTAGCACTCTAGCAGTAAAAGAGCACAGACACGGAGGATAAGAGTGATTGGTGTATCCTGCTGGCAAAGTTACTCTACGTAGAAATAAACAATGTGAGGAACAGTGAAAAGAAAGGAAGAGGGAAGTATAGAAAAAGTGAGAAAACAAATAAGAGAGAAGAAAAACCAAGTGAGGTCTGAGAGGGGTATATCTGAATTTTAAGTCAAAGACTGAACCTACAATTTCAGAATAACTATTGGAAAAATCATCAGATATATTGGACTGTAGGGTAGGCAGGGGCAAAAATGTGTTGCAAGCCAGAATTTTTTTTTTTTTTTAAGACTTAGTGCTGATATTTTTTCTCTTGGTTCTTGTGATAGGAACTGGCCAAAGCAGAAGGTCTGTGGAACCTTTTCCTCCCAGATGTCAGTGGTCTCAGCCAGCTTGACTATGCCTTTATAGCTGAGGAGACAGGGAGATGCATTATTGCTCCTGAGGTTTTCAACTGTCATGCACCAGGTTAGCAACCCTGCCCCACTGGGAACATTAAAAAGTTGGGCATCTCACACCTTACAGGCTGTGTGTCTCAAGCAGTAAGCATGACTGCTTTCTTACAGACACTGGAAACATGGAGGTCCTCCACATGTATGGCACTGAAGAGCAAAAGAAAGAGTGGCTGGAGCCTCTCCTAGAAGGGAAGATTAGTTCATGCTTCTGCATGACAGGTAAATTTTTCTCCAGAAGAAAGTTAGAGCCAATTGGTTGAAACTTCACATGGTGTATGAACAGAAACGTAGGAAACTGCAAGTTGTGTGTTGCAGTGGACATTTCTGTACGAATTCAGTATCAGTGAATGTGTTTGAATATAAGATCATCTATGAGGTGTGAATGCAAACTGGAGCAGCCTTGCTGCCTTTCCTGATAGTTACCAATTTTCATGGTTACAATAATTAGTATTTGCTTTCTAGATACATTTTAGTTTAATTTTTGTACTAGTAAAATGCAATTCATAGTACCAAACAGGTTTACAATAGAACTTACCCTCTGTAGTGTGCTGTGGAGTTTCTAGGCATGCACAGTTGGGTCCAAGTGTGATTATTGTGATTAAAGTAGTGTGGTTTTGCAGTGTCATAGATTTTTTTAAGATATAACCCAGAAATAACTTGCTTATATTCATAGCTCAGCATTGTATTTAGTTTTGCTCCTGAAAACTTGTGGCATTCAGCATCTCTGGAAAAGTCTGGCTATTGCTCTAGGAAGGTAGCTTTTGGAACATGTGATGTCAAAATCTTCCTCTGTCAGTAATTCAGCCTTGCAGACACTTACTTTGCAAATTCTGTTTTACTGTTTCCTAGGAGGAAATAGGTACTTCTGTTTTAAAGTAGATGGCCTATAAAAAGAGGTAATGGTGAAAGGAGAGAGGACGAATCTTTCCTGTTCCAAAAAATCATTGATAACATTTTGCTGGCAACTTCATGTAAGAGCAGAGAACAGGCTGAGGAGAAATATGACTGTTAAATCTAAGTACAATGGAAGGATAAAGGATTTAAAAACACAAGGAAAGGAAGAAGATTGATTTGCAAAGGCTGGTCCAAGTCCAAGAGCAAGTACATTTAAACTGGCTATGAATAACAGATTCCTGGAAAACAGGAAGTCTTTTGACTACCAGCAGTAAGGTTCTTGAAAGAGTTTTTCTACTGGTAGCAAAACAGTGCACTCTTAATAGAGTATATCCAGAGCGCTATATTTGTGGAGGTTGTATTGCATTTATATTAAATCTGGTGGTTGTTTTCCTTTAACACAGAACCTGATGTGGCTTCAAGTGATGCCACCAATATGCAATGCACCATTGAGCGAGACGGGAACAGCTACGTGATCAATGGCAAGAAGTGGTGGAGCAGTGGTAAGTGTGGAAACCTGAAAAAGAGTGACTAAGGCTAGAAATTTTTACGAGAGCTATTAAAAGTATTTGTGCTTCATTTCTGAGACGAAAATTTGTCTTCTCTTGAGTAAAGGCAGTAGAATGTAAAACAACAGAATTGAGATTTTGTTCTATAAACCAAAGTCCAAGATTCAAATCTGGTTTGGGAATTTGAGCCCTTTTTGGAGTTGAATTTTGTTCACAGAGTGAATGCTGCTATTTTCTTTAAACATTACCTGTTTCCATCAGTTAACTTACACGTTTATGGTTTTGTTTTCATGAAGCTGTCTATGGCAGCTTGTGTGAGAGGTTTGAGAGTACCATGTAGCTACAGTAAAATGTGGCTGTTTTTAAAGCAGCCTGTGATGCTGTTGGACTGACTGTTACAGGAGATTTTCTAATGTTATAATTCCCAGTAAAATCAATGCATTGTACTCTGAGTGACAGCTGTCCCTAATATTGTAGTGATTTTTTGCCAAAATGTGTGACAGCAACTTGAAAATTATCATTCCCCACGAGTTTGGAATCCAAACAAATAAACAGAGTTGTTAAACTTGAATGTTTCATTTACATATGCAATTGTGACAGCTACCTGCTGATACATGCTTGTGCAATACCTGGAGTCACCAGAAGATAGATCTCTCTCTCTGTTCTACTCCTGTGAAATTGGCAGCGAAAAGAGGCATAGAATCTTGTCCGCTGACCCAAGAGCGTTGCTTAACCAATGGCTACTTAGCCTTTGCTCTGGATCAGTGTCTCCCAGCTGTGCATTTCAGTCCCTGAGGAAGTAATGAGAAAGTTTTAGGGGGTCACAGACACAAAATACTATTCATAAAATTAGTTATGTGAATTATAAAAAGGAGAGTAAACATAAGACAGCATGATTTGGTTTGTCTTATTTCTAATAAATGCAGTCAAGGCAATCAGGTTTGCATAAAGACATGCATAAAAGGCACTGCAATTCCAAGAAGTTTGAGAAATGTGTTCATTCAGCTCTGTATTAGTCAGTCTCTCTGCTGGGCTGGGAAGGTGATTTTGTTTTTGTTTGTTTTGGTTTTGGTTGGGGTTTTTTATCTTTTGGGGCATTGAAACCTTGGATATGTGGGGATTCCAGCAGCCTGACAGCCTGGTGAGAATGTCACTGTATTTGTGAAGATAAGCCATAAATCACACATGCAAGGAGTCAGTTACTTCATGGAAGAAGAGTGGTTTCTTATTATGCTCTGCCATGTGTACAGTAAATCCATTATGGCTTAAATATGTCAGATTTATGGTGTATGTGTAGAAAACCAGTCAAGCACTTCTGAGTTAATCTGGTCACACCCTAGTATTTCTCAAAACACTGAGAAGACCTTCTGTAAGCTTTTGTCTTCCAAACAGGGAGAAGAGGCTCGTGTCTTGTTTATGCTACTGTTGTTTCTTGTCTGTCATTTTAGAGCTTTTTGTTCCTGTCCATAATTGTGTAACTAGGAACAGTATCTAAAAATGAGAGATCTTTGTTGGCTTTCCTAATGTGTAGATGAGACATTTTGTCAGCGCCCATAAGGTGTTTGAAGACAAGGACAGTATGCTGTAACACCACTTCTTCGTTTTGAAAGCTAAGCTAGTATGTCAGTATGTTTGAAATGCTTCTAGTGACTCATGGAAAACTGCTGTTTTCCTGGAATCCCTGCCAACACCGTGGCATGGGATGGCTTTGGTAACTCTGTGTAAAAACTGTAAATCCATGAGCTCCGTAGGGAATGGGAGCCTCTCTCTTTTGTCAAGCAAGCCTCTCTCATTTGCTAGTTGGTAATTGCCTATGATGAGAGATGTCAGTACCTACTAAAACAAAACAAAAGTAAAGATAAGAAAAAACAAAAGCCAGTGCACTTTTTCTATGCTTTGTTTTTATTCTATCTTCACATGTTTTAAGAGATACAGTTACTGCAATGCTTGATTAATTTTAAAAATTCTGAATAGAAGATCTAAGTCTTGTATCTGAAGATTAACTGAACTTTTTATTACATTTACAAAAATCTAGAATGTGCCACCCTTAGAGCACTGGCCTTGTTGAAGTTTAGGGTGAGCAGAAAAGAAGAGATGAAAGGTCATTTTTTCTGTAGTTATAAAAAAGGAGTTGCTGGGGTATTTTTGAGGAGGATATTGTTGCCCCTATACATTTGTAGACATACATGGAGAAAGAGTGGGGAAAAGCCATTCTCCCTCTCAATTCTCAGCTATAAGCTTATACTTCATTTCAATCTGCAAGGTTATCTATGGAATGATAGTTGAGTTGAGAAATGGAGCTGAATTGTTAGGCAAATGTTCTGAAGTTTTACAAAATAGTTGAAGAAACACAAGATTTTTAACTTCTGGTACAAAGGTTCCCGTTGTTTGATTGCCAATGGTTTTTTTCCTCCATTTTAATTACATGCTTAGATGTGTACAGGTTGTTCATTACACAGTTACGTAATTGCCTAGTACTGTGACACCAAAAAATACCCCCAAGACTTAAATTTTAAGGTGTTTGGGTTTTGTTGTGGTGGGTTTTTTTTTTGTTTGAGTTCTTTGATGTTGTTGTTTAGTAAATATCTCAGGTTGTTTCTAGGGGTTTCAGTATTTCGTTCTTGCTTGATTCTGATAAACACATTCCACTTTGAAGTGCTCTGTAGTGTCTTGGCAGGTTCAGAAATTCATCTGAAAGTTGACTTGCAGAGAAACAGCTGCAGAAACAATACCCCCAGAATCAGCAAGCAATTCCCTTGGTTATGTAAGATGATGGAAGCGATGGAGGCCTATATAGTGAAACTGACTGTTTCTTCAGTAGGGTCTTCATAATTCATAGAAATTTCTTCAGGTCTTCCATTTTGCTTCTGCTGTTGTCTTCTCCAGTACCCATAATTTTTTGCGATTTTCATGACGTGCATTTTGAAAGAGGCTCCCAGAAAGGCGTAGAGGAGAGGGTTGAGGCAGGTGTGGAACAAAGCGATGCTCTTGGTGACCTGGAGTGCCACATCCATGGTTTTACTGGCACTGCAGTCCGTGACCAACATGTAGATGATGTCTATGGTGCGCCACAGCTTCACAATGTTGTACGGTAGCTGGGTGACAAGGAAAGAGGCCACCACTGCCAGCAGAACCGTGAAAGGCCTGGACTTCTTAATATTTGCTGACCTAAAGATTGCCCGAGCAGTAGCAGAATAGCAGATTAGCATTACTAGGAAAGGAAGCAGAAATTCCAGGATAATTTCCAGAATTTGAATGGTTGATTTTAAGAGTGTTTCCATGTTGATAGGAAATACAGGAAGGCATTCATTCCTCTCATTGTGTTTCTTGACCTGATTAAATATCAGCTCAGGGATACTGAGGAAAATGGCAGCCAGCCAGACACAGATGCAGGTAACACTGCAGTGTTTGCCAGCTCTTCTAGAGCCCTGGGATTCAGAAGTGGCCCTGTATCTATCCACGCTGATACAGGCCAGGAACAGCATGCTGGAGCTGAAATTCATGGTGTACAGAGAAGAAGTGAGCTTGCACATTGGATTTCCAAGTTCCCATCCCTGCACTGCATTTGCAGCCCAAAAAGGGAGGGTGAAGAGCAGGAGCAGATCAGCAATGGCGAGGTGCATGATGTACACGTCTGTCTTGGTCTTGGGTTTCTTGCAGTAGGCATATATTGCAACCACTAATGAGTTTCCAGCCACTCCAACTGTGAAAGCCAGTGCATAGAACACTGGGAGGAATATTTTTCTGAAATTTCTCACATCGCTTTTTTCGCAGAGAAGCTCATAGGTATTGTAATCTATAGGAGGGTTGAGATGATCCTCCTCATCTTCAATCCAGTAATCTGTTGAGTTATTCATATCTGAGACCGTGGCAAAGCTACAAGACATAAAAAAGTGGGGAGAAAGGAGCACCAAAGAAATAATATAGGGTTTAAGTTCTAAAATTTCTGTTGAAACCTAAAACCCTTCTTCAGATCTACTTATTCATCTCAAATTTAAACAACTTGGATATTCAGAAGGCATTTGTGAATAATCGAAGTGAAACTAGACAGTAACAGAGGCAAAGCACACCATCTCAAGTTCTCATGTGAAATAGGGTAACTGACAACATCTATGTGGGCAGTACATGTAAAATGGATTCAGCTGAAAAGCTTTCCTTACCCTTAGCATTTGAGATTGTAAAATGCTTGGAGTGCATCTCACGAATTTGCACATTTGAGTCGAGGACCCAGCATTGCTTTAACTGCTCCAACTGTGTTATGTTTGACAGTATTCCATTGCACATAACTGTGTCTGTACCTTTATAGGGTTGGAATTACACCTTCCCCTCTCCATCCTCTGCAAAGCAAAGAAATACCAGCTGGAGGCTGTAAATGCTGTTACAATCAGCTGTATAAGCAATACGAGCAGATTACAGCTGAGGCAAGCAGCTGCCTGCTTTTATAAATTCTAACAAATTTTGGATGTGAGTATAGTGCAAGGAGACTGTTTTTGTTTCTCAGGCACACCGTATATGCCCACTACAAGAAGCACAGCAGGGGGGGTCAGTTGCTGAACAGCAGCAGAACAAGTTTAATTTAGTCACCATCCCACACAGTGAGCCATGCCATGTGGAATTTCTTACAGAAGCAGATTGCTGTGGGTACACTGCATCTTCTAGCTGGAGGCTTCTCAGGATGTTATGGCAGAAGGGAATTTTATCATGTATAAACTGCCCACAAGTACCCAAACAGCTCAGAGACTCTGCTGGTTTTTCAAGTACAATCTCATAGTAGATTTACTCTGTAAACTGAGGCTGGCTTCTCGCTGCCAGCTGAGGGTTGAAGTTTGTTATTCGTATCTTCAGATTGTATCTTAAGCAAGTTCATGTCCTGCATTGTTTTCTTCTTTTCCTGTAACTGTGTTCATTAACTAATGTGCTGAAATTGTTGTACGATACAGTCCTGCAGTACCCTGTTTTATTGAAATAAATGGGATTAAGGTTTCTTTGCAGCACTAGCAAAAGTCAGCTGAGAATGAAAAACACATACCCCTTTTGTCATCATATGCAGTGTTCAGAATCTGCTGAAAGCAGATTGCTATCTGATATTTTGCTCCAGAGCTACAATTTGGCTTTTTCAAGCCTGAAAGAAAAATGCAAATACCATTTCTGTTTCTTAGACAATTGTTTAAATGAAGGGTTGCCAAGTGTCTCCTAAAGTTTTTTAAATACATCTGTCTACTAGGAAAAAATAACTTACTGATTTGTCTCATAATAGGGGATGCAGACCAATTAAATAGAGAGAAATGAATAGTTTTTTATTTGATTTTTTTCAGTGATTCTCCCAGTCAAATTTTTTTAAAAGTGTATTAGCTTGAAATTAACTATCTGGTTTGGCTCTTTAATGACTTTGTTGTATTATTCTGTTAACATTTCAAAACACTCCTCATCAAACTTTAAAAAATGATTACTCCTATTTTAAGTCTTGCAATTTGTTCTTTATTGTTGCTTTAATAAGATGTGCAGAATGGAAAAGTACAGTCACTCTACTTAATACTTTGGCAAAGGGATGTCTGTTCTATGTCTAACAAGCTGTGTTAGCAGGATTCTCCAGCAGCAGTAATCTTTTGCAGCTTTATAGTACTTTGAGGAGAGATTTAGTTATCAGCAGCAAAAGAAACTTCTTTTATTAATTTTTTTAGTAGAAGAGAAAGTGCAGCAAGAAGAGTTTAACCCACTTACTGGGATTTGAGAAAAATTAGAAGTTAAATTAAAGGATTTGATTGTGGCCTTAAAACACTTTATACAGAACCCATCAAGGAACATTTAATCAAATCAGGTCACTGGCAAATTTACTTGAAAGCAAACCAGTAAACATTTCAAGGCAAACTTTAAAAGTCTGTGAATGACAAAGCAGTTTGGCTGTGATTCTGTGCTCCGCTGCCTGATAAGCTTTTGCCTGCCCTGAGTTCATGACAGGAACAAAGTTATCTAAAATGCAACAGTTGACATTTCTCCCTTAAAAGCACAGTTAGGTTTTGGCTCCCTATCTGTTCACATTTGTCTTTCCTGGTCCTGCTGTTTCCCAGGCACACGTGCATGTGCCCGTTGCAAACAGCCAAGCAGTCCCGAGGGAGTCGAGCACTGAAGAGTGGTGGAAATCTTAGTTTAGTCACCATCCCACACAGCGAGCCCTGCCCATGTGGAATTTCTTACAGAAGCAGATTGCTGTGGGTACACTACATCTTCTAGCTGGAGGTTCTCAGGATGTTATGGCAGAAAGGAATTTTATCATATAAAAACTGCCAAAAAGTACCCAAACAGTTCAAAAGCTGCTGGTTTTTCAAGTAGTGTTATCTAGGAGGTATACTAACGAACGTATTAAATCTACAACTGTATGTTTTCCTTGTAGAATTATTTCAGCCTTCCAGTCATATAAATTCAGTTTGTTTAAACTTGATGTGGGATTGTATGAATGATGGTGAATTAAGTTAATATCCCTAGTTTAAACAGACAGATTTTTTCCTCTGATAAATTAAGCAGTATTCTGTCCTGCTACTAAACAAATGTGATTTTGATACTGGAAAGGAGACGTGCTTTAGTGAAATGATATCTCTCTGTAAAGCCTAAGATAACTAAGAGTAAATGTATGCAAAGAAGATATCATGCAATATACAGAGCAGTAAGGATTAAAACAAAACTAACCTTTGTTAGCAGATGAGTAGCAGGTACTGCAACTGAGATGTGCCTCAGTGAAGTGATCTGAATTGCTCTGACACATTGCGTTTTGTCTTCAAGCACCACACCCTCATGTGGAAGTCTGTTGCACTTTCATTTTGACTTGACAGTTTAAAAAAAAAAAAAGTTTTAAAAATTGTGCTTTCCTGGAGACTCTTCTTGTGTTGAACATGTACACTTCCTACATTCCTTCCTGGTCCAACCAATTGTAACTTCTCTTTGGAAGGTCAGGACACTCTTACTGCTTCTCTTTGTTGTTTGTGGTTTTATTCCTGGAAGCCCAAATGTTTTATTCATCATCAAGAGGCTTTTATCAAACAACGCATTAAAAAGGTGAAAAGGATAGAAAGGAGGTCCCTCTGGAGTTTAGTTACTGCCTCATACACCACAGGGAGTCACTCCATTCCTTCCTCAGGGCATACTGTGCTTTTGATGGCTGACTGTATAAGGTTTTAAGTGATCCTTACATCCCCTCCTTGTGTAACTTTTTAGGGCATACAGTAGAAAGATGGTTGCTTTGGGTGAGGTGGGAAAAGTGGTTCTTTCAGTGTGTGAAACCAGAAAGATGGTAAGGAAAATTTGAAGACAAGTGGCAAATTGTCAACCAGAGTACAGGCAGATAGTCCTGCATCCTGGGAGAGATTCCTCAGGGGCTTGAATGTTGCCAGTCATTCTCATAATCAAATTTTGTTTCAGAATGACAAGGTAAAATGGGCTGGGAGAGGAATTGCAGTCTAGAGGAAGAGTGCCACCATTTCTGTGCATATTTCTGTAATGCTTTCATCTTGAGTTATCACAGTATTTCAGTGGTGCTCTTCACTGTGGCAGGTAAGATATTTGGGCTCTTTCCCAGTCATCTCACAGGTCATGTCATGGCTTTGAGGCCTGAGCCATATGTCTTCAAAACAAATGAAACTTTCAGGTCTGGATAGGCTTGGTCTCAATAGGGTCTCCAATGAGACAGAATAAGCAGGCTAGAGCTGAGAATGCTCCCAGGGAATTGTGTGTTGCCTGCAGAAGTGCCCAAGAGGTTCTGTGGGCAGGCTGTAGAAAGGCAGTTCATGCGAATCCTGCCTTGTATATCAGTTCCTCAGCTCCTTAAAGCTTTCCAGAGGTGCAGGGAGGACAGATCCTTCCAGTCAGAGTAAAGAAATAATATTTTCATGTATGTATTTCAGTGGGGTCAAAAATAACAAAAATTACTTAGTAAGTAAGAGTGAATACCAAGTGGATCTTACTTAAGTAAAAACACTTACGTCTCTGTGAAAGTGGCATGGAGGCAAGGAAAAAAACCATTCCTAAGCTGAGCAGCTTCTCTTACTGGCACCATTGGATCCTTTGAGCTCCAGTTGGGAATGACCAGCAGCCACATTCAGTGGCAGGACTGCAGAGCCCTTGCAACTGCACAGCCCCAGCATTACCTGTTTGCTTGCAGCCACAGTGTAGTTTTTGCCCTCCATGAACCTGCTGCCTGCAATGTTATCTGGAGAAGATGAGCTAAAACTGTGAAATACGATATGCTGGTGAATGGAAATTACTGTGGGCTCTTGGTGGGATGTGCCTGTGTGTGTCCCTTTCTTCCATTAGGAGACTCCCACATTACAACAATCAGTACCACACTGCCATCCACCCTACTAAGACCAGTTTTTTCTTGTAGGAGAGTCCAGAACGTGTTTATAAGTGCCTGTCTAGGAAGCTGTCAGGTCTGTAAGCCACCACGGACCCCTGACCTTTAGCAAAGGTCTGCTGGGCTGAGGGATGCGGCAGCCAGTGTAGCAAAAATCGTAGGTATTCAGCATTCAGGCAGTAGTTTATCTGGGCTTAGTTGTCTTAGACAGGAAATTGAAGACTGAAGAATAAATAGATTGCAAGAATTAAAGTGCTGCTGGCTTCTGAAAGCAGACTTTGTGGCAGCTTCCTCAAGTACAGGTGGTACTCAAAGGTTGCCACATTTAGTAGTCTCTCCACCAGAAAGAATCTGTGTAAGTTAATTGTGTGAAGATCAGTAAACTTAAGCATGTTATACCCCTCATAGCAAAAATTAGGCTTCTAATGAGATTGTGATCAACACACTAAGCACGTTTTAAAATATTGTCTTCGCCTATGTGAGTGAGTACCATGAAGAATTCAAAAGTATTAGTTAGTTAAACCGAAGATGTTTGCCAGTGTAGCAGCATTGTGGTCTGAAAGGTTTGGACAGGTTGTGCAGTCGTATACATTGAAAACCTTATTGAAAGCTCATCAGTATGGAAATATGTTTAAAACTGACCTTCTAAAATGTCTAGTGTTTCTTCAATTGTGAGTTTTCTTGCAAAACTACTTCTACCAAAATAATGGGCTTCTCTGACTCTTCTCCTCCATCCTCCAGCAACTTCTTTGAATTCTGTGATGTGAAAATGTCATTTACAAATGAGATGTTTATTCCATCCAGGCTGTTTGCATTCCAGCCAAAGCACTGGAGTTTTTCAGAGTCTTGCATTAGACCAGAACTTTTCTTTCTGTCTTTTATGGGTCAAAGTGACATAAAATTTGTTTTAGTTTTTCAGGACTTCAGACTCTTAAGGAGTGGAAGGGCCAGGAATCTGCCATCCTTTCCTGTGCTTAGATATTAGATAGGAACAAGCACATGTGAGATGGAGGTATTAATTTGCCTTCCAGAAATGCATACAAATGATTTAGAACATCTAACCAGATGTCCAGCTCTCAGTGAACTCCTCACTGAGTTCAACATGAAAGCTTCTTCTGAGGTTTTTTTTTTTTTTTTTTTTTATAATACATGGTTAAATTTGCCCTTTGTTTTGAAGCAGGGATGTGACTTGAGGATTATTTACAAAACAGTTTTTCAGGAGATTCCAAAAGGTCAAAGTATCTTTTGTTTTAAACCTCACTTGAAAGTAGGTCTGGTTTAGAAAATAGCACTTGTGCAATTCTTTAACTTCTGTGGAAAAGGAGAAGATTCACATACCCCTTATGCAGAGGTGACATTTCCCTGTGCAGGGTAGTACCCTGCAAAGCATATGTTGGGTTATTTGGGGTTGATCACCTGCTTGTTGCAGTTGCCCAAATGAGCCAATTATTTAGGATCCATGGGGTTTTTTTTGTTGTTTGGTTGGTTGGTTGGTTTTTTTTGGTTTTTTGGGGGTTTTTTTACCAAATTGATTTATGCCCCTGCCCAAAGCTTTTCACTGGGATTTTTAGCTTGTTAGCATTATACAGCTCAAGGGCCACTCTCTAAGCCCCTTCTGGAAACAATGGCTGAATACCATATTGCAAAAGAGGAAAGTAAACAACTGGAAGTCTGGCCCTCCAAACAGGCAGTGTTTATCACAATTAAACAAATCTCTCTCCTACTTCCTGGCCATCACAGTGGCTGTTCATAGGAGGAAGTGGCTCAGCTCAAAGCCAGGTGGTTGTATTGTCCAGACCAGAGTCTCCCAAGCCTTGTGAGAACAGCTGCTAGAGAAGTTATAAAGTTGTATTTGCTTCTAACCTCAGAACAAAACCAAGCTGCTACAGGTCTAGCCTTGAATTGAATCTCTACAAAGCTTGTCATCTGCACTGAGATAGCAGTAAAAAATTAGTGATTGCTACACCCATTGGGTATTTTCCCTAGCTTTATTGTTTGTAGGAGGCTTTGAAAGGAATGAGAGCATGTTTTGGTACTAATAAAGAAAAAGACAGGGAGGATGAAGGGTCCTAGAAATGTTATTTTAATCAATGGTAGAATCTTCTTCAGGACCAGTATGTTAAAGTGCTGTCTTTATGCTACAAAGGTTTGATAAATATGTCCATATAAAAACCATCTCAAATAATGTTAGCTTGAAATGCTAGCAGGCTATTTTTAGGTAACAATTTTCACTCAGATCTTTCTTCAAAGTGCAATCTAAAATCATTTGTGTAAAGGGGGAGAAATCCTGCATTCCAGAGAAGTTTTGCTGAAGTAGTAGCAAAGTTATCGTGGTAACCCTTTGATAGCCTTATCTGCATAATTTTGTTATAATGTGGTTGGTGTTTCATTCCCACACAGACCCTCCAGTCTTTATAGGCTGAAGTTTTTTTAAAAGTTCTACTTTTGAAATGGCAGCATCTCACCTTGATAGATGTGCTATTGTATTATACTTACTTGCTTAGCTGTAATGAAGCGAGAAGTAATCAGATTCCATTTCAAGTACCTTCTTGTTCCCTTTTCATAGGAATAGGTGATAGGAGCTGGAGGGTTTGGATGTTTGGTTCTTCACATTCCCTTTCCCACAAGTCAGCTCCTTTTTCCATGTTAAGTACTAATGTGTATTTTGTTTCAGTTTGATATTCAGAATATAAACACAGGAGTAGATTGCATCTCCTGCATCACAAAAGGAAGGGAGTAGGGTTTTTTGTTATGAAACTTCATTTGATTTGACATTGAGATTTTATACTAAAAACAATTTTTGTGTTTGTCACTTTTTTAAGGTGCTGGGAACCCAAATTGCAAAGTTGCAATTGTAATGGGCAAAACCAAAAACTCATCAGCATCCAGGTAAGAATTCCTAGGAGACTCAGAATTCCCTAAATCTTGTTCCCTGGAGGAATCACTACTTGCAAAAATTTTGTTAAGTGAAATGCCATTAATTGTTTTGACCAATTGGATGTGCTCCTAAATTGGAGGGATGTTTTAAAACTCAGCACCTGTCTATTGTAGCCCGAGTTCTTGTTTTGCTGTCAGATGCTGTTGACTGAGTCCTTCCAGCCTTTCACACTGTTGCTGGCTTTCATTAGCATGCTTCCCACCTCTCTCCATTGCACCAGCTCTAGTGTTCGTGCAGCTGTGTGATGAACTGGATCAGGGAATTTTGGGGGCTACACTAGTTTTATCTTGGTCACATAAATTTTAGTCTGCATCAACAACCAACTCTGGCTTACAATTTATTTTGTAAGCATAGTATATAAAACAAAACTGGGAAAAATTAAATAATAATGCTTAAATAACAAAACCAAAACTTTTCAGAGCTTCCCTGAACAGAAAGGGTACAAGTGCTGTATCAGAGACCTGAAGCTACTGATTAAGTTTTCCACAAAGTTATCTGTAGATACAGAAAGTTAAGGCTGAAACACGGGGTGTTGGTAAGGTGAAGCTGTAT